TCTTTTTAGAAACCTCCAGTGATGGAGCACCCACAACTTCTGAAGGCAAACAATTCTATTGTTCTAACTGTCAGGAAATTTCTCCTTGGTTCTAGATTGCTTCTCTCTTTGATTACTTTCCATCTGTTGTTTCTTGTCCTGCCTTCAGGGGCTTTGGAGAACAGGTTGACCCCCCTCTTCTTTGTGGCAAATATTGGGAGACTGCCAATCCATTTCATAAAAGCTAGGAGTGTTCTCACCTGCATTTAAAGTCACAGGATCCAGCTGCCAGCAAGACGTTATTCGGGTGCCAATCTAGACTAAGGACGGTGGAACGAATGGGCTTCTTGATATGCTTGCTCACCCACCTAGGAAACAGGAAAAGGATTCCCTCGCATCATTTTCTGACTTTGCTGATCAGAAGGTCGCAAAAGGGATCAGGTGACCCCGGGGACTCTGCAAACCATCATAAAAAGACGAGCCAGTTGCCAAACACCTGAATTTTGATCACACGATCACGGGGAATGCTGCCAAGGTTATATGTGGAAAAAAAACAGTCATAAGTCACATTTTTCAGTGCCGCTGTAACCGGTCACTAAATGAACTGTCGCTAAGTCAAGGACCACCTGTTATTTTCCAGGCAATGTTTATTACAAGCCCAGGGGAGGCCCAGAACCAGAGATTAACCCGCTCACCAATCGTTTTCCGATTCAAAGTAGCAGACGGAGATCAGCCGCGCACCACTTCCGACGGCAAATTTGTTCTCCAGAGGGGACCATTTCACAAAGGTGGCTGCTCGGTTGATCCGGAGGATGACCAACGTTGGCTTCCAGATGCCGTCCTTCTGGCTCCAGACGTAAGCGTTACGGTCAGCGCCGCAAGTGACAATGCGGTCACTCTTGGGGGCCCAGTCGATACCTGTAATTGAGAGAAGGGGCTGTTTTCAAAAGCAAACCTGAAAGACGGGCAACCTCCTCAACTTCTGGAGACCACCGTTCCAAAATCATGTAGGGTTTGATCTTTCCAAGGGGCATCTCAGGTCTACCTTAACAGAATAAAGGAGGAAGGGACCTTGGAAGTCTTCTAGAGACCAACCCCCTGCTCAAGCAGGAGACCCTATAGCATTTCAGACAAATGGCTGTCCAGTCTCTTCTTAAAACCTTCCAGTGTTGGAGCATTCACTGCTTCTGGAGGCAGATTGTTCCACCAATTAATTGTTCTCACTGTCAGGAAGTTTCTCCTTAGTTCTAGGTTGTTTCTCTCCTTGTTTAGTTTCCACCCGTTGCTTCTTGTCCTGCCTTCAGGCACCTTGGAAAATAGCTTGACTCCCTCTTCTTTGGGGCAGCCCCTGAGATACTGGAACAGTGCTATCATGTTCCCCCCTCGTCCTTCTCTTCATTAAACTAGACATACTATTCTATCTATACACCAAACACCAATTTGTTCAGGTGTCAAGTTCTAACTGCCACAGAGAATCAAGATTTTTTTTTTTCTCTCCACAAGACAGAAGCTGTCGGAGCTGATGCTGCTCTTACCAGTGATGTGTCCATTGTGTTCTTTCAGTTCATGAGCCTTCACCCACTGGTTCCCATTCTTCTTGTAAATGTGAACTTCGTGGTTATTCGGACTAATGGCAATCTCTGCCAAGAAAACCATTGGATTTCCATTAAAAAAACATAGGTAGGTAGGTAGATAGAAAAAATAGAGATAGATAGATAGATAGATAGATAGATAGATAGATAGATAGATAGATAGATAGATAGATAGATAGATAGATAGATAAATAGATAGATAAATAGATAGATAGATAGATAGATAGATAAATAGATAGATAGATAGATAAATAGATAGATAGATAGATAGATAGATAGATAGATAGATATAGACAGACAGACACAGATAGATAGAAAAAATAGAGATTAGATAGATAGACAGACAGACAGACAGACAGACAGATATTTAGAAAACATTGTTCATCAAATATGTTTTTCCTAGAAGAAAATTTTCTCAAATGAAGAGACTTAATCTAATATGTATACTGCGCATGGAAGTGACTATAAAATGAAAACACAACGGTAAGAAGCCAAAGATGTTAAACAGAAACTGAAGATAAAGATCAATTCAATAGAAAATGTCTTGGTGAAATGAATTACCACAAGGGTAAAACTGCATTACACTGATGAATAAACTTGAGCAGTGAAAAATCTGTAGCGGTGAAAGATGGAGGGGAGAGCTTTCCAGCTTTTGGACCTGTGTTTACATCCAGAAGCATCCAAAAAAAAAAAGAACTTGAGGTGTCTCAAGAGGAAAGCAGGAGAGAGCGAAGAGGTTAAGCAGCCCTTGGTGGTTTTCCTCCTATACATCTTCCTAACTCTGCTTTGCAGCAACACCTAAAGTTGTATCCAAACCGTCCCTCAAAACAAGCTTAAACAGAACCTCAGTTGTGTGGTGTCCTTGGTCCTTGGCGGCCTTCTTGCAAACGTTTCATTACCAAACTAGGTAACCTCATCAGCGCTGTGCATTGATGATGTTACCTAGTTTGGTAATGAAACATCTAAGGGCGTCACAGGTCAGCTCTGAGCTACAAACCTTCACTTCTACCTGGAGCCTTAGTTACTAGCAGCGCTCCCTTTTCAGCAGAATATCAAGTAAATATTTATGGAAATCACAGTTTAAAAAGCGAGCAATCAGGATGACACTCACGCGTTCGATCTCGGTTCCAGGCATGGCAGGTGATTGGCTCAAGTAAGAATTGGTGTAGGGACATTCTGATAGGATGATCTTAAAAGTCTGAACAAAGATAAGCCAACAATCAGCCCGCGTTTACATGTCAAACCATAAACGTAACTGAGAGGTGCTGCAACAATAAAATATATTCAAGTGGCTGGTTTAAATCTGGACTAAGAAAGAAAGGAGAACCCTGCCTGCACAAGATCACAGTCACAAAAGCAGAGAAAGACAACTGGGTGTCATAGCCCCAAGCTGTCCATTGAGTGAATCACAGCTGAAAATGTAAGCAAACTGAATCATCTTAATGTATACAATAAAACCATGACTCTTATACACTGGAATGGGTCCATAATCAGGGCAGCGTAGTGATAAAACAGGTAGTCACCTAATGACTATCCAGACTGACAGTCTATCTGCTCCTCCAGACAGGAAGTTGCACAGACCATGATGCCCCTTTGATTAGTTTATGGTTTATTCAGTAGCCTGTGCGTTTGTGCAAATACACTCAGTTATTTTACATTGATTTCCATTTCAATTGCCTTACGAGTCCTTCAGATCAAAACAGGAGATGCATTTCTATCTTGTCTCTAACAATTTGGCCTCAGGTCCTAGAGAACACAGCTAAATCCACCCCTCTTCCTTAACTCTGTAGGTCTCTACTACAAGGTGGAGCAAATAGAATCCACCTTTGCCCTTATCATGTAAAACCAGCAAATATTTTTTGCTAGCCCACTTTCGACATAGGCGAAGGGCAAGAATACTACAGGTGTGTCCTTTTCTGGCCAAGCCCTTTTGTAAATCCTGTTGCAGAGTTGTAACTCTTGCTGATTTACAAGATTCAGCTTCCATGGGTTGAGATCTATCTAGACAGATGTATCTCTCTCCTACCCTATCATTACAACTAGTAACACAAGACTAACATACACATTGCATTACTATTGCTTTTCAGATGTACTGGACATCCACCCTCCTGTTTCTCGGGATCTGAGAATCAAGGCTGAAGATGCCCCTTCATGGCATTCACTACATTAATGGGGGGGGGGACTCACATCCATTTTCCCTTCGGGCCCAACCATTTAAAAGCCAGGAACACCATTCTAGCCTGATCCCCATGAAAAAACTCATATATTTTTTGGGGGAGATGGGGAGGGTCTCTCACACAAAGTTGGGCATCCTTTTGGGAGGGGGGTCGCCATACCACGATTTTGGACCCCCCCTTGTCAAGCAGAATTATAATTTCATATTAAAAAGGAACCCTTTTATTCTTATTAAAAGCCAGGAACACCGTTCTAGCCTGATCCCCATGAAAAAGCTCATTATTATTTTTGGGGGGGCGATGGGGAGGGTCTCTCACACAAAGTTGGGCATCCTTTTGGGAGGGGGGGTCGCCCTGCCACAATTTTGGACTCCCTCTTGTCAAGCAGAATTATAATTTCATATTAAAAAGGAACCCTTTTATTATTATTAAAAGCCAGGAACACCATTCTAGCCTGATCCCCCATAAAAAAGCTCATTATTTGGGGAGGGGCGATGGGGAGGGTCTCTCACACAAAGTTGGGCATCCTTTTGGGAGGGGGGGTCGCTCTACCACGATTCTGGGACCCCCCCCTTGTCATGCAGAATGATAATTTCGTATTAAAAACGACATCCCGCCTCCAACCCCTTTCTTCTTACTATTAAAAGCCCATTCTGGTCCCACTCAATGAAATTGTTTTGAGGGGGGGGATCACCTACATTTATTTATTTATTTATTTATTTATTTATTTATTTATTTATTCATTCATTTATTTATTTATAGGGGATCGGGGCCCCCCTCCGGTAAGGAAGACTCCTGCCTCCCCCCCCTTGCTCCCTCAGAGATCCGCCGCTTCCCCCGGCCTTCACTCACCTCCCGGGCCTGAGGGAAGCGGGGCTCGCGGACTCTGGTCAGTCAACGCGGCTCCGCTCCTCGAGATGCGACCGACGGCAATGACAGGAAGGCGCGGTCGCCAAGCAGGGGCAAGGCCACTGCGCCTGCGCGACCTCTCCCTCCCTGCGGCCGCGCGCCTGCGCGGTCGGACCGAAGGCCTCGCCCTCCGACCCCTGAGAGGCGGTGCTTCTCTCTGCACGGGCAAGGAGAGTTTCTTGCGCCTGCGCTCGGGAGGGCGGCGTGCCGGAAGGGAGGGTTGCTCTCCTGACTGCGCTTGCGCGAGGAGACGGGCTGGGATGGGGAGGAAAAAAAGGCGGGACTGGGGAAAGAGAGTTTTTTGGGGGTGTAGTGCGCCTGCGCGGGTGGGAAGTAGACCAGGGCGTGGGAATAGGGCCGGCGCAGGGTGACTCGAGATTAAAATAAAGCAAGATAAAAGTCTTTGTGAACTATTCTCGGGCATAGGAGCAATATTTGCAGAAGGGGCTGGGTTGTTTCTCCCCGCGCAGATAAATGCATGGGTGCAGGGAAGGAAACGTGTCGTTTTTTGCAGATTGCAGATTTCTGTGGGTTTTTTTTCCTCCTAACAGGTTTTCCTGCTGTTTGCAATTTTGGGGAAGGGGCCACGAGTGGAATTTCAGCCCACTTTCTGTTCCCGAAGAAGGGATCCACCTGAGCATGAGAAACTTGCCATCCCGTGCAAACTTCCCTTGGAAATAAAGGATCTCGCCCAAAACAATAATTCCACTTTCCTATTTGTGGAATATAAATGATATTTCACAAATTGATGCATCTTGATATGTCTGTTTAATAGAACCTCTGGTGCTTAAAACAACATGTGATTTCTCCAAGATTTAACTTTCTTCCATAACTCTTTAAGGCACCATAGGCAACACTTTTAATTTTTGTTTCTTCACGTAAATGAGGTCAAAAGTTCTTCCTAAATTTCTTCCTGCGTATGTTACATATGTTTTGTGCACATGCAGCGACTGGATTTGTTACACACATTTTACTCGAGATACTCAAATCTTGAACCAGGAGTTAGAAACTAGGGCAAATTCGTACAACATGCTAAAAGAAAGCCCCCAAAAAATCACATTTGGCCTAACGGTTGTGTGAATCTATCCATAGAGAAGTGTGGGTTGTATAGTGTTGGGATTGAGTCTCACCAGAACTCTGGAGAATTATGTACAAAAATGATAAATTTTAATGCTAAGAATTGTTGCCCTGTCAGCTGGCTCTGGGCTACGTGTGTTAAAAAAAAAAAAGTTAAAAAGTTGGTTCAGTTAAAAATTACACAACATTTACTATTCCAAAGGTATTCTGCTGCTGGGGAAAGGTGAAAGTGGAAAGGTTGAGTCTCAACCCCCTCCCCCACAGATGCACAGTCCTCAACTTACAACTGCAATTGGGACGGGAGCTTCCATCGCTAGGTGAGTCAGTTATTAAGTGAATCGCATCCAGATTTACAGTCTCTTGCTGTGGTTGTTAAACAAATCACACCTGACTTCTCCCTTTGATCTAGCTTGTTGGAAGCTGGCTGGGAAAGTCATACATCATGATCAAGTGCCCCCGGGACCTTGCGAATGTCATAAATACATGCTAGTTGCTAAATGTGTGAGGACTGATTGCAAGTTATTTTTAAGGAAAGGGATCATAGGACAGGAAAAGAAAGGACTCCACCAAATTTCTTTTCCAGGGGATGAAGCTTTATTCACACTCAGCATGAAATAGGGTAGCATTTACAAGAGACAGCCCAAGACGGACCCTCCTAACGTTTTCCGTCTTTGACATGAAAACGCAAAACTGCATTCAGACTCTGAGAACTTGTCTACGGTCCATCACCTTCTTGATGGAAGAAAATCAGACGGTTGACAGATGGTTAGCCGACCTCTTTTCTTCCCCCAAAGGATCAAGAAGCTCTTCCCTTCCGCTCGCCTTCTCTTACTTCCTTACAAAAGCCTTTTTAAAACTCTTCAGGCTGCTCCAGTCCTCCCTACAGTAGCAAGCATGGGCGCAGTCATCTGAGATGCTTAGCCTGTCAGACTAGAAAGGAAAGGCGATTTAGCCGGGGCAAACCAGAGCAAAGAGAGAGGAAAAGCAGAAGAGAAGAAGGCACCAAGGTCGGGGACAAACCAACAGCCCAAATGGGAGACAAAAGCAAACTCGGAAAGGACAATCAAGGTGGGAGATTGGGCTTCGGTCTAGGTCAGTGGTGGCAAACCTATGGCACGGGTGCCAGAGGCGGCACTCAGAGCCCTCTCTGTGGGCACGCGCGCCGTCGCCCCAGTCCTAGGCCTTCAGCTGGGTTTTATAAAACCTTTTCGCTTTAGGCCTCCGCCACCGTGTACAAAAAAAAAAAAAGTTCAATCAATCAGTCAATTTCAACTTCTCGCGGGAAAAAAAAGATCTTGCAAAGTTGGAATTGATTGATTGAACTTTTTAGTCCCACCGTTACCACTGCAGCCACAGTCTGCCGTTACCACTGCAGCCACACCCACCCAATGGGCCACGCCCACCCAATGGGCCACACCCACCCAGCACTCGATGATGCATAAGTGGGTTTTGGGTTGCAGTTTGGGCACTCGGTCTCTAAAAGGTTCGCCATCCCTGGTCTAGGTAAAGGTTCCTGCAAGTGATCAGTTATCAATTCCCAAGGACCAACAGGATTATCCAAGGTCAATATTATTATTCTGGTTGGTTGCACACAGTCAGCCAGATGTTTAGACTGGATCTGGCATTTTTATCCACTTCATGGAGTCCTTCCCAAGGACCTGGGGTAGGCAGATGTGTTTGTTTGATAACGTTAAAGCTATCATTGTACCACGTAAGGTGTTCTTTTACAATTGTCCGAGTATGGTCAGTGCCGAAGAGGTTCATTTTATTATTACTAGTATTATTAACCATACTATAAAGTTAAAAGTAATATGGGGACTATCCCAAAGGTGCTTTTTCTAAAAGGCAACTGGAGTTCCTTGCTTTTTTTCTTTGAAAATGTTTTGCTTCTCATCCAAAAAGCTTCTAACTCTTAGAACTGAAGAAGTTCCTTGGATGAGAAATGAGAGTGTTTTCAAAGAAAAAAAGCAAGAAGGTCCAGTTGCCCTTTATGATTGAGAATCTCCACAGGCATTTAGTACGGGGGTTGATAGATAATCTGCAACTTCATGAGTGGAAGAGTTTGGGGCCTAGTCTACTCTAGTCTAGTTGAAGATTCCCCAGCTCAAGTGCTTGCTGAGATCTCCAAAAACACGTTTCCCATCCACTTTCTCCTTCCTTCCAATCCTTTTTGGTGGCTCCCACACAGCAGAGCCCCAGAAGAAAAAACATGCTGGCTCTTCATGGGATCTTCAGCCTGAACATTGGAACCCTGGAGTCAGGATTGGCGCAAGAGCATCCTACACACAAACTCAGCCAATGGGGTTTCTTCCATGCCTCTGTGGCCCAGTGATGCCATACCTACCGGCTGCAAGGACAGAGGCGAGTTTTATTCCTCGGCAGCTGACTTGGAGCTGGCCGATTTGGAGACCTGGACAATCTCCACGGACGTGAAGGCTTTGCCGGTGGAGAGACGGTGTCTGGTGCGGAGTTTGTTCAGCGCGGATTCCGCCATTCCTGCTCGCTCTTCAGCATCGTCCAGTTCGTGCACCGTTTTCCGGTACCTGGCCAAGCTCTGGTTGGCTTGCTCCTCCTGCAGTGAAGATGAGGTCTTCTTTTTATTTAGTTATTAAACAAATTTATATAGCTGCCCAACTGGCCCGTAGAGTTTGGTCTAAGGGGTTAAGGCACCAGGCCAGAAAGCAAGAGACTAATTGTGAGTCAAGGACTACCTCTTTGTTTCAAAGCGACAATACGTACAGACTCCTCAATTTGTCTCTTGTAGGTCTTCAGCTTGGTCTGCAGCTTATCCACCAGTTCATGCATGCGCTGGTTGGTCTTGTGGTCTTCCTCCGTCTGGAAGACCAGCTCCTTCAGACGCCGCTCGTTCTTGTGCAGCACTTTCACCGTCTCCACGTGGTGCTTTTGTTCGGAGTCCAGTTCGGTCTCCAGTTCCTTAATCTGAAAAAGGAAACCGAGGCCAAGGTTGTGAGAAGAGAGCGGACAACCAATTGTCCAGGATAGAGTAAGGACTCCTGCCTTGGCTAGGGGGTTGGACTAGACCTCCTAGATCCCTTCCAATTCTACAATTCATGAAAAGACCCCTGCAATCACCCCATAAAAACCACTTGTCCAGGATGGTATAAGGTCTTCTGCCTTGAAGGGTTAGATTAGAAGACCTCCAACGTCCCTGCCAACTCTATGATTCTATGTCCTATGACCTTGGTCAGATGCCACCAAGAACGTGGGAAGCTTAGCAACTGGAAATTGGACAGGGGGGGTGGGGAGTGGAAAAGTTCTTACCCGAGTCTCCAGCTTCATGATGGTGCGTTTCCCACCTTTCAAAGCCAGTTGCTCAGCTTCTTCCATCTTCACCTGCAGGTCCTTGATGGTGACCTCGTAGTTCTTCTTGATCTTCTCCAGATGCATGGAGTGATCCTGTTCCTGACGCAGTTCTTCAGCCATGCGGGTGGCCTGGAGGGGCAGCAAAGGAAAAGGGATTAGCCACTGGAGGTTGGACTGAATTCCACCCAAACATTATAAAAAATTAAATTTTGCAAGGGCTTAGAGAAAGATTGGCAGGCCCAAAGGTTGCCCATCCCTGCTTTCCTAGAGAGACAAGGCAACCGAACTTCTAGCCTTCAACGACAACTCCCAGGAGCAAAGCACGCCTTTGAAAAGGTGTCATTTGATCACCAGATGGGCAGCAAATAAATTCAATAATAAATAAATAAACAGGTTCTGTCATTCAAGGGAATGCACCAGGGAAGCTTTCCCCAAACTCCAGAACCGCGAACTCACATCGCTCATCGCTTTCTTTGCTTTCTCATCCGCCGATCGGAATTCACTGATGAGTTCCTCGTGTTCGTTGCTTATGCGCGTGAGGTCAGATTCCAGCTTGCGTTTGATCACCAGCAAGCTCTGGTTCTGCAGAAGGAAGAGGTAAAAGCGGGACCTGTCAAACCAGGGGAGCTGAAGCTATGGATCAAGACCC